TTTCTTCATCCATGACTTAAACCAACACGCTCTTCTACCAAGCATACCTATTTTTCTGAGCTATGTATGAAAGATGTGGTTGTGTTGTCCCTGTTTTAATTGTTTATTCTTTCTTCATCCATGACTTAAACCAACACGCTCTTCTACCAAGCATACCTATTTTTCTGAGCTATGTATGAAAGATGTGGTTGTGTTGTCCCTGTTTTAATTGTTTATTCTTTCTTCATCCATGACTTAAACCAACACGCTCTTCTACCAAGCAAACAGAAAAGTCTCCCTCGCGAGTCTGTGTGCCTCCTCGTTGCCCGCGTTCCCGCTATGGCCAGGTATCCACTGCACTTGGACCACGGTATTGTAGTTCCTATGGATTTCTTTGCAGAGTTGCTTGATGTAGTAAGGAGTAGAGTTCCGCCGTGCGGGGCGCCTTGTAGGGCTTTGAGAGCCTCTACGCTGTCCGTGAAAATGGTTGCTTTGGTCACCGCGTGGGATGTTGATTCCATCAGTGTCCTTATATTCCCAGAAGGATGGCCTGCAACTCTACCTCCATCGGAGAAATGTTGTCCCTTGGGGAGAGGCACTGGGTGCGTGTCATGCTGAACATGTCCGTGGCAGCTATGGCCAGGAGGTTGCTGCCATCCTGTCTTGCTCCGTCCACGTAGATCTGCTTGTCCTCTGGGCACTTGTGCGTGCATGTCCCTTAGGTGAGTGTGTTCAGGGGTGGTTACTTTCACAGGTACAGGCTTCGTAGTGGTCACGAGTATGTCTTCCCACGGGGGTACCATGGGATCGAATGTTGTAGCGTGGAACGTACAGTCCTCATCTTCCAGGAGACGTTGACCATGTGGGGTGTGGAGCTGCCGTGCTTGATCATTGGTCTCTTGTTGAGGTAACGTACTGTAGTGCTGGGAGTTGACAGTACCTGTAGAGTTCTTCTGTGCGCGTGTGATGTGGGAGGCCTGTAATGACCCGCAAGGCTTGTCTATAGAGGCTTTAAAATTCTGTAGTCGTACTCGAGTGAGCTGGTAGCGAATAGCCCCGTAGCACGCGCGTGAGACCAGGACGGCTTGTACGAGCACACGGGTAATGTCCTGCGTTGCTCCTCCAAACTTGTTGGATGATGCGCCTAATTAGATGCAAGAGCTTCTTCCATGTCGGGGTAAGTTGATTGAGCCATGCTTCTGCTCCTCCTTTGGTGCTGATGGGCACCCCGAGTATGCGAATCCAGCCTTTATTAGGTTGGGAGAGTGTCCTGTCTTGTAACGTGACTGACACCTTGGCTCGTTCTGCGGGAGAGCCTCCGATGAGGAGAAATTGTGCTTTCTTTGGCGATATTTGCATACCTGTTGGTGCTATAGCTTTTTCAATGATGAGGAGCGCGTTCTGGAGCTCATCACAGGCCAACTCTGTACTTTTAAAAGCACCACTTTCTGACCACAGTGTGATATCGTCCGCATAGAACGTAAAGTGTATAGTAGATTCCTTTTGGCCATCGCTATGGATCTTATAACAATGTTAAAGAGCATCGGTGAGATTATTGAGCCTTGAGGTGCCCCTACTTCATTGCTGCATTTGCGGGGGTTCGACGTTCCTGTCTGGATCTCAAATGTGCGTTGATGAAGGAAGCTCTTAACGAAGTTGAGCAGACGTCCTCCTGGATATGCTTCCCGGAGGCTGTCGAGTATGGCCTCGTGGGTGACTGTGTCAAAAGCTTTCCTTAAGTCGACAGCCACCAGGATATGTGGCTGCAGTCTTCTGTGTTTGCAGAGCAAAAAAGAACACGCAATATATTCTGTTTTCTAAACTGCCTGCTTGACTTGCAAGTTATTAAAACGTATGATGTCACACCACTAAAGAACGCGGGAAAATTTTAATATTTCTTTTGGCATAACCTTAATTTGTCGTTTTCTTGGTAGGTATTTTGAATTTACAGATAATAAACAGCGTGCCGGGAAGAGTAAAGCTTGGATATTCCGAAAAAGTTGTTCCGCTTTCTCCTCCCCATCTTTACACCTAGATGGCGTCAATTCTTCTGGAGCTGTGGACACCGCAGCGCCAGATCGGCATTCGTCCACGTACTGCGAGAAGTTTCCCCATCTCTATGGCCTTAGAACTGAAACCTCTAAAACCTCAAGGCCTGCGAGATATTGTTTCGAATGACTATTAGTGTGAATCAGACAAAATGTTAACCTACAAAAATATATCACTTCCTCCCAGTTATTTTTTTGACAATAAAGAGACGGAAAACTGTCATCAACTGGATATCATGCTCACAGCTTCTTGGTGCGGAGCTTGATACTTACCTACATTTTGACGGACATCGTTAAGCCAAGCTGCACTGCGATGACCTCATAGCAGAAGCACGGTGGCTGGCGGAAAATTAGCAAAGGATCATTTCCTGTTCTATGTCGTAATTTTCTCATGTACGTACCACGTGTCAACGTAAATCACTCGCATGTCACCCTCAAAAAACAAAAGAAAAAACAACAACAAGCGGCCCGATTCGCTTCGCTGGACGAGTCCGGTGAATCGTTAGTCGTAGTGGTGCCTTTCGTTTTCAAGGATCTCCGGTCGGCTACATTCATTTAGCGGGGGCTAATCGTATGCGGGCATCTTCCATTCAGTTCCGATTGAATGCAACTCATCGTGCAGCCCGCGCAGTCCTTTACACAAAATCAAGGGCATTCCAATATGGCGGCGGACGCGAAGGACGTCGCCAGTCATTCGTGACAGGCGATCCGCGGAGCAGACGACAGTTGGAGTCAGTCCTGCCACCACACGCTGCCAGGAACGAAGGAACTGTACTTGGAAGTTGGTTCAAATCGGCTCTTCAAGCAGCTGTACTGTGTCAGGTAAGACTGCGTTTAATTGGAGTGTTGGGGGCTAAGGTATATATGCTGTTTTGTACATTTGCCGTTCGATTAGCTTTTTTTTTAGCCTGATATGGCATATTTTATGAAACTTTAAGTTATATTATAAAAATACCCGTGCGTTCACTTTCCCCGGAGGGCATTCGGAGTGCCAATCACTGCTATATGCCTGCGTAATTAAGCGGACGAATGACGAAACCTAATTCTTTTTCTACTATATTGTATAGATGTTTGTATGTGATGTGTGACTGAGGACGACGTTTCATTATTAAGTCATGGCCAGTGTTACATGGCTGGTTTTATGTAGGTCAAATAATTTCATCAGCCTTATCATTCAGCTAGATCTCTTCGTACATAGATAGCAGTGATTGGCTCTTCAATCGAGTGTTATGCAACAAAAAACAGGTAGATGCTTAAATATTTTGATGTTTTTGATTACCTTCTTTGCGACAATTCGCCATTGCGAGTTACTGAAAGGACGGTAATTCGCACTGGTGGCTTTTTTTTTTTAATTTATTTTCAGCTTATTACAACAATCTTGTCATTTTTCCGTAAGTTTGATTACGATTAAAAGTTGTCAGGAGATTCCTCCAACCGCCAGGTGGCTTAAAGACCGATCTAAGAATAGTAGGTTCCTGTTTTTATCGACTTGGTTACATTGTGTTACAGAAGCAGCTGAGATTTCCGTCAAAAACAGAGTGTCAACAGTGAGCAACTGAGTCTCTGGTAAAAATAAAAAATCAAACACTAAGATGAATGCTTTGATAGCATGTTCCTGATACTTGATAGCTGTATATTAGCTAAAAAAACTTGTTTGTTCTCGATGAATTTGGGAAAATTACAAAATACCATTTGTATATATATAGGTACTGCGGACAGTGCTTTGATCAGGCTAATTCTAGTTGAAAGTGGATGATGATACCTAATAATTTCAGTTTTTTTGGTTCATATCCTGCATATAAACGTGTATCGTTGCCATAGACTAAAGATAAAAACCTTTAAAAGAGTTATAGGAAGCACAATTCTTTGTGCTTCCTCGAGAATTGTAGCCTTTGTGTCTAGGTGTTGCAGCTCCACATACATATTAATGTGGAAACGCACTTTAATATACGTAAAAGCGATCACTACAAACAACAAACCTCAGCCACTTGGCGCGATGAGCACATTCACCCTCTGTCTCTTTTAGATAAGTCACTGACCCTTCTCAAAATGGGTCACTGATCTCGCGAAAACTGTCACGATACCCCAGTAATGGAAGGGAATGTGGCGTGTGACACACTTCGTAAAATCGGACGAAAAAAGGATCCGCTAGCACTGTTTCGTTTTTAAACAGAAGCGCAGTAGACACTCCGTGCTGCAAGTAAAAAAAAAAAAAAAAAAAAAAAAAAATATATATATATATATATATATATATATATATATATATATATATATATATATATATATATATATATAACCATAAGCGAACAAAGAAGTTTAATGTCCCCTTTTAGCCTTTTAGCGGTTCAGCATTGTCGCTATACTTCAGCACGCCACTGGACGCCGCCACTGCTTTCTACGGTATAGAAGAACTTCACCGTGGTATCTATGGGAGATTACCCATTTTTAGGTCTACCACCACACCTCACGCGATCGCACTCAACAAACTCGCTTCCTCTATACTTAAAGAAAAAAGAGAAAAAAAAAAGGCACATGCGATATCTTTTGTGCAGTGTCGATAGTTCCGCCCGCGCCGCGTTACAAAAGCGAAAAACGTTTTTTGTCCAACGCTTCAGCAACGTTTCATTCGCGCCTATGGAGGCGTCATATTTTACTTTTTTTGTTTTTTGGGTGCAGGGGGGGGGGGGGGGGGGGGGAGGGCTAAGTTATGGTCCGGTGAGCATACTACATCGGCTCGCCATCTTTGTCCTCCTTTTTTTGTTTTCTTCTATTTTTGGTCAGGTGGAAAGCGATGGAATTCTGTCGGCGTTCAAATGTTGTTTTCCCAGCTGGACGAACCGTGCTGCAGGACTTGTACTGCCCCTGCGGCTGTGTCCACTCCGAAAAGTCGACGGCGTTCCATGTACGCTCTTGAATCTTGTTCTCCCAACAGTCGTCTCGCTGCTGCAGCGGTCATCACTCGGACTTTTGTGGACATCGCGGGCCTCAGGCTGAAGACCGTGAGTATTGCATACATCCGGGTGCTTCACCGTTGAACGACGTGGTAGATTAAGTAGACGGAAAGCAGTTAGCGCTCACTGGGCATCGATGCTTTTTTTTAAATTTTACTCAGACAAGACAAGTCGACGAGTATCAAAGTTTACTGCAGTTGGTGCCGTAAATGAGAAAGCTTATCACAACATGACTACAAGTGAAACAGAAAACAGTTTGGCCATCGCTTGTTCGTCTTAACTTTGTCGCGCTCTCTACTTACTATGTGCACTGCACTTGAAAGAAAAAGGTGTGTTAACATCAATTATTTTTCTCTTCGTTCATTATCGTTTGCGCCCGCGCGATCGTGTATCTCTAGTGAGGGATTCATATTAGAGATATCTTGGCAGTGGTACTTCACCATCTCAGCGGAAACAATGTCGCAATATCACCCAATTGGACCAACCTCACGCCGTCTAAACACTCATGTCTAATTGTAAGCTCAGAATCATAACTTTTCACTAACATCTCTTTTACAATTCGCACAGATTCATTACCATCACTTTTTTTGTTCTTTTGATATATAGCTTTGGTCTACTGTTTCTAAGTCTATCAAGCTTTATAATGAAAAAAAAAAAATATTTGCCGTATTGAAGAACCTGACAAGCATTGATTAATGCTCGCAGATCATGGTTCCAGTCCTGAGTGCCGCCATGTTCTACACCATGTGCAACGCCTTCTCGAGATGCTGCCCCCCGGACAGCACCACCATGCCGTGCAAATGCAGCGGTCCCAGCAGCTTCACTGTCCTCACCTGCGACAACCTCATCTCGACGCAACAGGTAGCGCAGGTGGCCAAGAACGTGGAAAGTCACACCAAGGAATTTGGCAAGTTCAGCATGTACAACGCCAAGGTGATGGCGCTAGAACCAGGCATGTTTGGGCAGCTCCGCTTCGAGTACATCTTCGTGAAGAAGTCTACCATCACCGAAGTCAAGCACGGGTCTCTGGAACCTTCAAAAGACTCGCTGAAGAGGCTTGAGATCATTCACTGCGAGCTGAAGAGCTTCCCGTTTCAGAACGTGTCCACCTTTCCGAAGCTCGAGAGTCTTCAACTGTCGTACAATAACCTCAAGGCCGTACCAGACTACGCCTTCAAATACAATCCCAGCCTTAAGAAGGTGGACTTGTCTTTCAACAAGATATCGTACATCGGCAACTACGCGTTTTACTACGTGCCGTTCCTCCGGGAACTCAATCTGAGGAACAACAAGCTCAAGATCATCAACAACAACGCCTTCGCGGTGCACGTGAAGCCTAATAACGATTTCGTCCTGGACATGTCCAACAACCAGGTGTTGATGATCGCCGACGATGCCTTCCACAACGAGAACTTCAAGGTGCTCAACATGTCGAGTAACAAGTTGAAGTCGTTCCCCGAGAAACACTTCAGACCGCTCCTTGTTCGGATGGCAGTCCAACTGGAAGGCACAATTGACCTTGAAGGTGAGATTAACAGATGTTTCCGTGGTGAATCTTTATCATTTAGGCGAGCTGTCATCTTTCTTAACCGCGCTTAGGAGCCAGTCTGATCATGCGCAGAGCTGTTTTTTGCGAAATTGCAGACGCCGTGCATGCGCTCACGGCCTAGTAACTCAGCATTTTTCTTTTGTCTGGGGAAAACGCTGGAAAGGTGTAGGATCACATTTGTCATTTATATATGTGTGCTTTTTAGTTCCAGGACGGTTGATGATTTCAGGTTATTACAACTACGGTGTTATATTGTGCATTGTCAACATACCTTTATTACAACCATAGGAGCATAATTGAGTACTGCTGCGTATAGTTGCCAAATGCAGTCTACCGTTACCCCTCTGAGTTGTAGAACCTTCACGAGACAGTTGATTCGAAAAAAAAAAAAAAATTTTTCTTACGCTCGTTATCCTTTCAGGCAACCGTATGAACTGTTCGTGCAGCTCCATGGAATGGCTGCTCAAAATGCAACCGTACTATCGACGCTTCGTCAAGGGATTCGTCTGTTCCGATACCCACAAGACGCTCGAGCACATGACCTCCTGGGACCTCGGGTGCGCGTAGGAGTGACGTTGATGACTTGCATCTTCCTCTGGAAAGAAAAAAACATCCGCTGACCTCCCGTGGAGGCTTCGTCTCGGTTATCTGCAATCGGGTGTGCGGCGAGCCGTCATGCATATCATGAGCGGGAATTCGTCACGCGTCGCGAATGACTTGTGCTTTCTGACGTGCCGGTGGCATGTGTCGCTGACCGTTAAGGCTTGCCTCGGGCTGCGTTTCGTTTGAATTGAAGACAGCACTCAGCTGTATCCGTGTAGGATGGAGCAATATACCACTTTAGCACGTCGGCTTATACTGATTTGAAGCCTTGTCTCTCACAAGTGCGTGACAGGCGAAAAACAAAAATACGACGGCGTAATTTGTTAATTTAAAGTATACTAGCTAATTACCTAGACGTTCCTCGCAACGAAGCATTAACTCATATAGATTTCCGCGTGAACACTCAAACCGTATGTGTGCAATATATATATATATATATTAATATGTTGAGAGGAATTAGGACAGAACTCGACACCAATATCTCGAGCTTTTGTAATAATGAAAGTCAGAAAGCGACTGCCTTTCCATTGTTATTTCTGTCGAACAATCATGTTTTTTGTTAAAGAAAAGTGAGCGCGTAAACGAGCTGGGTAATACTTGACATGACTGAACCCAAGACAAAAAAAAAAAAAAAAGAAAACAAAATCACACACACACACACACAAAATTGAAAGGAAGACACATAAAAAAAAAAAAAGAAACTGCGTGTTTTCCTATTTTTACGTGTGTTCATTTTCCTTCTATTTTAGGGTTCAGTCGTGTCATGTTCTTGTTTGTCAGAAATTTTGCACATCAGTGTTTTTTTTTAATGTAACTGTTTTCGTCGAGATCTTGTTTCAGATTATTTTTCTAGCTTTTTCTCGACTGTCAAATGATTTCCTGTCCGAGAAATTAGTGCAAGGAATACACACGTCCGAATGATCGAAAAACTATTCTGTGTGGCTTTATGTGTTTCACGCCAGTTGCCTGCCCAGCGAAACTGTACCATGCTGGTCGTGTTACTGTCACTGAATTTCAATTTAATTAAGCATCCACGAGAATTGAATTTGTATAGCTATTTTTCGATTAACAAATATTTTTTTTTTGGTCCGAGAAATTAGTGCAATGAACACGCACGTGCGAATAATCGAGACACTCGTAAGCGGCTTTATGTGCTTCACGCAAGTTGCCTGCTCAGCGAAACTGTACCATGCTGGTCGTGTTACCGTCACTGAATGCCAATTTAATGAAAGATCCACAAAAATTTACTCGTGCATATTAATATTACGCAAGAAAATTCTGGTGTGCTGATAAGGTACATGAAAATACGGATAACCTTTCGTGAATTCTGTAAATCCTGCCGTACGTTTGTTCGTACAGAACAAACATGCATCGTTTAGAACACCAGACTAGTCGCTTTCTGGTTAATACAACAAACTTGCCAGGCCTTGCGTTCTTTACATTGTCAGAGACTACAGAAAGTACTAGAGCCGACGTTTTGCTAAGAAATAACTTTACTGTGATCAAGTGACTGTTGTATGTAGTAGATCACTTTATTAATATATAGTCACCCAGTCGGCTTTTTAAAATGTGGCTTTATTTTTATTTCTTTTCTTTGTAAAATCACGTAACGGTTGTACTAAGACGATTGCATGTGATTTTTGCCTGGACTGTTGTGGCTTCACTTGGTCGTTGTGCTGTCTGTCTAAGGAACCACGTTTCTGTACGCTGTGCTTCTGTTCCATGCAGTATTCGCAATCACTTTCTAGTACCCTCATGTGTCCATCATACATATCATGCCAAAAAATATGTGCTGTAATAGATGAGAAGTAAAGCATCCTGCTCTCCAAAAGAACGGCAACGAACGCCTTCTCAAGATGTACGCGAGAATAAACTGACTCCCACTTGAAATGAAGCTCAGCTCGCGCCCTCTTGGCAACCGGCGTCCTCCCAGTCGCCTAAATGACGTGAGTTGCGCTCCATGTCAGGTAGAAGTCGGTTAATTCTTGCGTAAATCTTCTCCACTCTGGAAACTTCACATGAAGTATTAGTTGTCGTAGTTTCCCTTATTTTCACCCGATAAACTCAAAAGGCGCGCTTCCTTTAGCTCCGAGCTCAGTAATCTGATACAACATTCCGTCGTCGGGTCCCGTGACTTCCGGATCGGAGCTCCCGGACGTGACGTAGAGGACGTCGTAATCTTTGCCCCCGAAGCAGCAGGAAGTTGTGCACTTGGTGGGAAGGCTGATTCTCGTGAGGATCTTGGCTGCAAGACAAATATTCCATGTGTTCAGCGGCGCACATTTTACCAACATCACCTGGAATATAAATCTAAGCACGTGCGGCAGACGTCTGACGACAGTGAGATCGAGTTCAATCACTGATTGGACACGAGTGCTGCGACCGCGTTCGGCTCGGCCTCGGAACCAATAAGTGCGTCGAAGTACGTTCCGCGCCAAACTCGGGCACGATTACCAAGTTGGCACCATCCTCGCGTGATACATCCATTTCTCGTTAATACGAATTCAATTCGCTAACGTGAATACGCGCTGCTATATCTAAATTTTTCCACTACGAGATTTTTTTAAGCTCTTTAAAACTCAGTACAACTACAGGGACAAAGGATGTTTCAAGTTTAAGCTACTCATTCAGGTAGTCGAGAAAAGAAAATGTTCATACAATACAGCTAGCCGAATATCCGTGACAAAACTACGATGTGTTATTCTCGATCATCTAATTATCGCAAGGAAGCCTATGGGATCGGGGCATTAGCCGACAAGAACGCCGAAGATCAAATGAGGAAGCCGAGAAGCGTGAACATCAATAACTCAAGTACAGCGTTTCTACTATAGTAGGCAAACTAATCTATCCGGCCCGTTGGGTCGACAGTACGACGCAATCAATAGTCCCGTAGTAATGTACCTGTTTCCGGATCTATCTGGAGCACGGTGCCGGTGCCGAAGCAGGTCATCCAGATCTTGTCGTTGACGTCACAGGTCATGCCGTTCGGAACGCCGCAGTCGCAGTAACCGAACGTGGACTTGAAGTCTATCAGAAGTTGCCGGTTCTCTGCGTGAAAGGTTACGTATACCGAGCGATTGATACGAGAAAAGGGCTGAGAGTATAGTAATCGTTTTCTTCCGCCCACGGATTTGAATCGAACTTCAAAAAGCGACGGTCGTTCGACCTCGGTTTTCTGCAAGGAAGAACATCCCCCGAGCGTCCTTCTCTCCCAAACTGCGAGGAGGAGAAGGGTTCGCTCGAGTGCGGATGCATCGGATGAAAGACACTGTCTGATGCATGTTTCCTTCTTGAATGGTGGTCCTGTCACATTGGGCATGTAAAAACTGTCTGCAGACATGCTCGAAGCATGCGTGTGTATGAACTTGAAGCAAATATGATTCGCACATGCTTAAGGCGTGTCCGTAGAGAATATTATCATCATGTCCGCAGCGACCACCATGTCCGGGATGTGATGTATGAGCGTAAAGTGACTGGGTTTTCAGGAAAAGTGAAGTTAAATGCAACAATGGTCTGTTGTGCCTTTTTTTTTTATTGAAACACCAAACCTGCAAGGGCTACTTCGTAACAGGACAAACATTAACGTCGACCTTTGTTTTGGGCAAGTTATGTTTGTAATAGTTTGCTGCTTGAGTTTACCGCGTTACTACATGTTCATGCCAAATTGTAGCGTGATGTCGTTTATTATATATATCGTTACAATACTTTTTTGCGATATTAGACTTGAAACGTTCGCATACAAGACGTCGATCAAAAGACAAGTTTTGTAAGCGCTTGCGTATGTCAAAAAGGCCCCAATAATGGCATGCTTGCACTCTTTATATGTGTTACCATTCTTCGACACTTTAATGTGGCTTTGAGAATGATTTTTTACTGAATAGTTGTAGCGCTATTCACTGCTATCTATACGAGGTGTGATCAAAAAGTTCCGTGATTGATTTTGTAGCGTAAATAGAGAGGGCAGCACAGTTACGCGCGCGCAGCAGTCGAAGGTGGGTACTTTCATGCGTCATTATGCCGAAGGGCATCGCTCTGTGAACGCTTGGAACCGCGTTGCATGAGTTTGTTTGATTACATGCACGATCATATTGACGATCTCTCCATAGACTGCAAACCATTAGCGAGAGCGAACATCAATTTTTCCGTCAAACTTGGCAAATCTAAGACATAGACCTTTGAAATGATTTAGAAGGCTTATGTCAAAAGGCAGTGAGGTGTGAGAGGTGTTCTGAGAGGCACTCGCGCCTCAAGAATGGCAGAACGTGACTGAAGTCAAGGAGAGGTCGGATAAGGTCGCCCTACCTCCCTTCGTCTTCCAGGGATGATGTTCTGCCGTTCGAGGTAGCGAGTGCCACTTAAAACACTTCGCAAAATTCACTGCTTTTTGAAATATGCCTGTTCAATCATTTCAAAGGTCTTTGTTTTATATTTGTCGAGTTTGACGCAGAATGGATGTTCGCCCTCGCCCTGGTTTGCAGTCTATAGTGAAATTGTCACTGTGTCCGTGCACGTGGTCAGAAAAATTTGTGTAGCGCAGCTCCGAATGTTCACAGAGCGACGCCTTTTGGTATAACGAGACAAAAAGATCCCTCCCTTCGACTGCTGCGCGCGCATCACTATACTGCCCTCTCTTTTTACGCGACAGTATCAGTCCGGGAACTTCTTGGTTACACCTCGTAGAAGAGCTGCGGCCATCTCTTTAGGTTCGGGTGGCTGGTCTATGGATTAAAACTTTTAAAGAACAAATTAAGTTTAGCCTGTACTTTGAGCATGCCACGATTCACATATCTACGCCATGCTCGGCGTGTCACTTCGCAAACTTAATTTTCAGATACAATACATTTTTTAAGCGTCTTTATTCGCCAAGATCTCAATGTCTCCCTGAGTACTCTGACGCACATGCACGACAATATATAAATTGTCCACCTAGCGTAAGCAGAGTATTCGAAAGAGGTTTGATCTTACGGATGGTTCCTGTCTTGAGATCGTAGTCGAAGGCGTACGTCTTCCCGGGGACGGAGTCGTTGAAATACATTGTCTTGTCATCGCTTGTCCACGCGATGCCGCTGGACGCCGAGACTTGGGGTAGCGTTGACCGAACCTTTCCCTTGGAGTAACAGTACAAGGAGCACACCTTTCCGAAGGGCTCGTTCGTGCCTCTCTCCTTGGGCATTGTACCTTGAGATCGAGAGCAAACCAAACGGATTTGAGGAGGATCAGGAAACATAAACAGGAACGCTAAGCGTTGAGACAAATCATTAAATGTTATCATAAAATTTACACACTTTAAAGACGCATTCATCTGTTCATGCATCATACAAAAGATAAGATGGCCGCTGCAGACATGACAGAAGTATATGTTGATACGCCTCACGCTTGTTGGAACCATGTCTGATTCATGCATACGTATTTGTGCCTCGATGGTGACAGTTCTTGTATGACCAATGTGACATAGAAACGTCACTCAAAGAGGAAACATGCCTCAGGTACTGTCTGCCGACGGACTTTTTTGTTATGGTGTAAATGTAAGCGGTGCGACCGGGAATTAGTGAACTCACCAGCCCAGAGGCGGCCCATGGCGTCGCACTTGCCGTCGCTGAATGCACACTTGACCGCCGCATTTCGATCGTCCACTTGAGTGAGTAGAGTCTTGGCTCGGCTGTCGAGGTCCACTTTGTAGATGCCCGTGTTCACGCAGGCCACGACTTGACGTCCGTCTTGGGCGCAGGGAATGGCATTTCCAACAAACCCGTCTGAAACGAGATCGCTCTAATTATAAGACAGGTGTGGTGCTACGTTTCTTTTTTTTTTTTTTAGGAAAACTGCAACTCGATTTGGTGTGTGTGCGCGCGCGTGTATGTGTGTGTGTTTGTGTGTGTGTACAGTACGCGCCACTGTTAGTGCCAACATGACTTCGGCGATATTTTTTTTTCGCATTTTTATTGGTGGGCATCAAGATGAACCGCTTAGGAATTGGCACCCCAGCTTATCACTTTCCACCACTGTGGTAGATTTGAAGAGAGCCCTTGAATACTGAGAGAGGAATAGCGATACCGTCGCGGTGCAAGCTCGCTGAGCAAATACCAACGCTTGTAGTCGATTTTCCCTCAGAAATACGGTGAAACTGCGGTATCGCAAATAGAATATATTGGCATAGGATCAGTCCAGAAGAGACGCTTTGACTTAAATTTGTAGTCTTTGAGCTAACAGCGGGCAAGGGGCGAGTAGGTGAAGCGATCATTATCAGTGTCAGATTTGCGACTTCGGGTTTTTGCGAAAACTGTGTTTGGACAGTGTCGGTCACCGAGGCTTCCTATCGTGGATAGAGCGCACTGCTTTCCTCTTTGAGTATACTCTGCGAGCAGCAGACGTGTGGTATTTCCCTATGTCACCGACACGAAACTAAAAGGAACGCCCCACTCCTAAAGAAAAAACACACAAAAACATTAACATAAATAATTAAAAAAAAGCGTAGGGCTCTCAATAAAGCTGGCTCTTGGTGCGTTATTCTTTTTTCGGTGTTATTATCGGGCAATATCGCAATCCCACTGGATGGTGAGCATAAATAAGTGCTCGCTGGCTAGACACACCCAGCGCGTCTTTTTAGCTTCTAACCGACTCTAATTCGTATATTTATCTGGACAGGAAGATATTTATTACCGACATTGATGACTTCAACCTCCTCCTGAGTTTCCGGGTCGAAACGAATAATGTCCGAGTTGGTGCGGTCGACGTAGATCAGGGTGGCGGTCCTGGCGTCCCAGTGGGGCGCTTCGCCCAACGTGCTCCGGCGCTTGCCAACTTTCTTGATCTTCATCGCTCGGGGAAATTACAAACCCAGAAAGGCTTGAGACGTGGACTTTGTTTTCCGTTCGCTATAATACAGAGGTCATGAAAAATGAGAAAATCATCTTTACACTAAACTACCAGATTCACAATAAGCGTAACACATCGTACAAAAGAGTCTGAAGATACTGCATGAGGCACGTTTCTTTCATGTATCTGTCACATTAGTGATACAGAAAATTGCAAACGATCACACAAACTGTGCTGCGATCGACAGGGGCAGGTGCTGCGTCGAGGAAAGCCACTTTGAAGGAGATTTGCATTCAGCTAGTGTGCTGACAATGTCTCCAATGTGATCTTTGCTTTCAGTGAAATTGACGTAGGAGACGTGCGTGACGAAATGTGCGCTTTGGTGGAACGATTGTGCAAGATGTCGCAAATGTTGAAGAAGGACACAAAGACGTGTTTTTTCTTTTTGTTTGTTCGTTGACTGAAACGCTGCCTCAGAACGGAGGTGCCAGTGACCGCGCCTGCGGAGGTAAAGAAGCGAAAGCACGTACACGCGAGCTCTGAGAGCACACGAGAAGGGAATCTGGGCGGCGGCGGTAGGGAGGCGGGGAGCGTGTCCGCAAGGTGACTGCCAAAAGGAAGGGGGGGGGGGGGGGGGGGGCGTCGCTGGGGTGTACGTGGATGTAGCAGAAACAGTGGGGAGATGGAGAGCGCTCGCCCCGTGATCACGTGGGTTTTTCGGAAAGGCGGCGGCCTACAGGGGGTGAGGGCGGGGGTGCGAGAGAGAGAGCTTTGCCATAGTTGGCGTGTATGTGTGAGAAACGACGGGAAGATGGAGAGCAGTGCCTCTGCTGTAGAGTGGGGTTCAGCATTAGTACATAATTTTCTTTTTTTTTTCCCATTAAGGGGCATGTCTACAGGGTTGTGCGAATAGTGGTTCGAATCGAATAGCGCTGCGTCAGTTATAGCCTTGACAGTGAATGAAAAAGCCAAGACGGCCAGTTCTTTCAACAGTGCAGAAGCTAGGGATGACGGTGCGCTATTCGATTCGAACCACTATTCGCACACCCTTAGCATGTAGCATAGGAGCAGTTTGACTGTTGCTTAAGACATCTGATATGCGCCTACCTTCCTGCAAAGCAACGCGCCCCCCCCCCCCCCTTTCCAGAACACTGGAGAACACCCAGACAACCAATCACGGCGAAGAATGGAAGCATCCTAGCGGAATGACCAAGCGAATCATACGATTATATCTAAAAAAAAAATGTGATGTGCCCAATGTCGATGAACGAGTGAAACGTCATGGTAGTTGTCCTTGCGAGCATCAGGTATTTTGGTTCTAGCCGTATTCTGAGCTTCGCAATTCGCTAGAATTTTTCTGTTGTTTGCCGCAATTGGAATGTTTCGTGTTTTTCTCTTAAAGTTACCTTGCAAACCTTTTCCTATTCTTTTCTTTTTTAAGAGCAATTGCCGTTGTCTACGGAGGCAACTCGGTGAATGACGAGACTCAAAACTAAAAGCGTGCGAGATAACACATGCAAAAGAAAAGGAAAAAGGATAATGAGCGACGTTTTAGGAACACGCCCTTCGTCAGACTTAACAAAAACTAAGTCCAGAAAAAAAAAAAAAACAGTCTGCGAAGTGAAGCTGAGCACGACGTAAGCATGTGAAACGCCATGGTCAGTGTCAATATCCGTTTTTTTTCTTTTTGCTTGTCTAAACAATGTTTTTGCCCTTTTCATTTGCTAGGCTGCCTCTGTGAACTGAAGCATTTGTCTCTCCCAAGTTCTTTGCGAGGAAGTACGCGCACAGGATTTTTTTGTTAAAGAAAGCGTCATGATCTGCCGCAACATTTTGTGGCGTTTTGTCTAAGCGAGCAGTTCGGTGGATGAAAAGATAACATAAAACAAAACAAATAACAGTGCAAAGACGCAGCACCAGACGAAACCATGCGCTAAATCTTGCTTTCAAACATACAACAAAAAATTTCGGTGGCTTAGCTCGGCTATGCCAGGATACACTTAGCGTGAGCTTATGTGCACGAAATGAGAGGCGCTCTCAAGCGGCTCCGGTGCAGCGTCAGACTTGTCTACTGCACAACGGAGGTGCACAGCTGGGCACGCGGCGGCGCCAGTGCGTCTGCCGCGGCTATGACGTCACTCCTCTGGAATGCGCAGACCGGCGAGGGCGCGCGGCGGCTCCGGCGCGCCAGCTGTGCGCCTTGTGACGTCACTGCTCCTCGCGCATGCGCAGCACGGCTCTTTCGGAGCCACGCGAAACTGCTCAACCTCGGCCAGTGTAGCTGACGCTACGAAAATAGAAATAAATGATATGATTCATTTGCGTGTAGCTGTAATCGGGCAATCATCCTGCACTCCGCAATTACAGCTGTCTCTTTCCCGCGAAGCGACGCCGAAAACGCAATATGCTCTGCTCTACGCGAGTTCTCCCGCGGCTGCATCGTGCAAATTAGACGGATCTGGACCATACTACAGTCACTGAAAATTTAAGAAACGCAGAGCGTGGATTATGATGATCGCACTTCTAGCTTCGGGATTCATTTCTCGGTATTCTAATGTGGCCACTGCCGTCATCTCATTGGAGCAGAGTCTATAATTAACATAACATTAACATAATCAGATGTTCAAGACTCGTCACGCCTTGTGTTTATTAAAAGTTTCGACAACTCTATACGGAATTATCAGGTTCTTACGTTACAGAAGTAAAACTTGCCGCAAAATTGAACGGTGCGTATTCTTCGTAAATATTAAATTAAAATATTAGAATCAAAACTCTTCTTTTTTTTTTTAGAAGTAAAAACTCATCTTTGTTGGACTGCTAGAGCTTAGAAAATAATAATAACAAATAAAAGGGCACGGGATCAGCGTCAAAATAATGATCAAAGGTCACTCTTTTGCTCATGTTTTACGAAATTTGTCCCATTGCTCGCAGCGACTTTTTTTCTTCTTTCCAACAAAACGAGTAAACGTAGGCGGAAGGTAAAAAACAGCGCAGGATTTTCCGACCGCCAAAGTAATCCCTCTACAATTATAACCGCAAACACTTAAAAAAAACAAAACAAAAAAAAAACAGCGTTGATAGTGGTGAGTTCCGATCATATCATATATGATCCCTTTGCAGTCAATACGTTTGCGTCGTAAACCAAAAAAAAAAAGTCAGTCTAAAAAAAAAAAAAAAAAAAACGTTAACATAACAACTTAAGCCACGCCCGGTGTTGCTGCATATATCATCTACGTGATGCATTCAGAAATATAATCACGTGTTTTCTTTTGATCAACTTGCCAATGTTTCAGCTGTCCACTACTGCTACGGGCTCTAAAAATGCACCATCAGTACGAATATATATATAAAAGGAAGAAAATAGAAACGAAAGAAAGAAACGACAGAAAGAAAGGACGGTAACCGGAATATCACGACTTAACATGGTCACTGTAGTAACTGAGAGCTTTAAGAAACGCATGGTAGCTTAATTCTCATTGGCTGATGAGCAAGAATGAGATGTTAATCAAGACTCGTTACGCCCTGTCTTTCTTAGGCTGCCACTGACTACAATAAGAGGTTGGCCGTTGAAGATGCCCTCCAATGTAGTCGTTACAGTAGAAGCGAACGCTGCGCCTACAATATATCGTTAGCTTGGTTCCCTATAGGAAAATGAACAACTCACCTTTCCTTCCTCGCCTATCCTTCGTTTCGCTCGTGAGTGAGTACCACTAAAAATAAAACAACAATTTTTAAGGAAAAAAAAATACCTCTAGCGCTAGTTAATGTTGTCTGCTACAACCAAATGTCTTCTCGTCAGTCGAGAACAGGGCGAGTCCCCTGGTGACCTGGTTTTACTGACAAAACCCGAAACCCGGCACTCGTGTGTTACCTCGCGTCCTGGCTCGAGCTCTCTGGCGTTCTGTCGCAGCTGCGCTACGCCGCGCCGTACATCAGGCTCTCGACTACGTTTACCCAACTGTAACTTCACCGTGTAATTGTCTAACGCCGCACCTCCCTGTTGCTTTTATTCTAAAGGGTTAGTTTGCTTGGGATGGAATTCAACGTCCACTCGGTCGGAAAAAGGCGGAAGGCGTTGTCTTTCAGTTTTATGTCTCCCGAAAATCCGTCCTCTGGCAAGAATTGTTCTTTTCATTTACGGAGCCATAATACTTTCTGGGAATCCTTTTACCTGAATAGTATTTGCTAAATTTGATACATAGCGATCAACACCAGTTCCCAAAATGTAAAAAATTACATATTGAAATTAAAAAAAAAAAAGATTTCCAATAATAAAAAACTGAATTGCAGTTTTTTTTTTTTTTTTATACGCTTGTGCAGGGTTTAAAAGTGGAATTTTTCGTTTCTTTTTAATTAAGCGCTTGCTGTTAACCTGGAGTGGGAATGTAGCAAATTCCTAGACGCGTTAAACTTATCGATGTTAGATGTTCACTGTCAGAGAAGCCCTTATACTCATCTGTACAACTCAGAGTCCTAGATAGATAACTATAAGCATCTTGAGAGCAACGCCCGGCGTAAAAATCACGAGCTGAGAAATGGTGAGGATGGCGGAGATTGCCACCTTGTCTCACGGTCAGGGGGATTCTATTCTGGTCAGGGGGGTTGTGCTTTGATTACGGAGTGTTTGCAACTTCTTGATCGAGGTCACGTGGTTTACGGGCCGTGTTAGCGATACGAGCTACGAGGAGCAGGCGAAAGCATTGGTCGTCTGCGTCCTCACCGATTGAAAAGACTTCGGATGCGCAGTAGCGAACAATCTGCCTCGTTGGGCTCCGTCATTTAATGGCAAACGCCTTCCATGGTTCGACTTGCTCCCTCTCTTAAATCCAGGCTCTGCATCACGTGGGTGCCTCTCCTGTAGGTTTTTTGTAATGGGAGAATGTACGGAGGACGGACTTTACGAAGGAGAGTGAGGACCTCAGAAGCCGTCTTCAAGATTTCGAAATCTATGACCGGCGCAAATTTGGTGTAACTTTGAGCTTCGTAAAACGTTTGGCGAAG